AGTGCAGGATCATTCCCTACAGTGTATTCTCCATACCTTTGTCCTGTCCAGTCCTTTAATAACTCAAGTACTGGGGTTTCCACTACTTTCCCTGCGAGTTTTTTAAGCCATTGGCTTATCCTGATACTGTCGGAGGTCTCGTGACTTCAAGATCTTCAGCTGGTGTAAACTGATGTAGCCCCATTGATTTGTTTTTAATTGGACCATTTCCTGGCTTTAACTTGCGTATTGTTGGTTTGTTTTTTCATGCTGGTTTTGGTTTGGTTTCCCTGTAGGGAATTTATACCCAGAAGAGAGCAGACCCCAGAAAAGTCAAGGAAGAAGTGGTGGATTTTGCACGTTTCAAGTGGCCTTTGCTGTTTTCTAGATTCTATGAAGCCTTCAAATTCTCAGGTAACCCAACAGAGAATGTGTTGCCATAGGATGAGCATCCATGAAATAAAAGAGAATCATAGACTCTAGAGATGAACAAGACCTATTGGGTGATCTGATCCATCCTCCTGAAGGCACAGGATTGCCTTGTACAGCACTCAGTGCAGCCTGGCTATAAATGTCTCAAGCTCTGATGCTTTTACCACATCCCCGATGAACAAGACTGGGACTTTCTGGCCTTTACGACTTGATTTGAGAGCTAAAAGCCTGTCCAATTTGTAAACCATTTTTCACCAGCGTTTTAACTTTACAGTCTGATAGTTGCCTGCACATTTATCTATTGTGCATATTGTCTTCAACCCAGGACCCAGCCTGCCCAAGAACGATGTGATTGTAGCTGTGAATTGGACCGGAGTGTACTTTGTGGATGAACAAGAACAAGTCCTCTTAGAACTCTCCTTCCCAGAGATCACGGCTGTCTCAAGCAGTAGGTAAGGAGGAGCAGAATGAGTCAGTTTGTCCCTGTGTTGAGGTAATGGTGTGTTAAAACAGGTGGCTTGAATTCCTTGGCTTTAAAGGATTTAGGCTATGGCTACACTACAGAGCTGATAAAGCTGCTAGTGCAGAGGCTCTAAGCCGGTGGGAAAGAGCTCTCTCGCCCATTGACTTAATTCCTCTAGCCCCCGCAGGCGGCGATAGCTAGGTCAGCAGGAGAGCTTCTCCCACTGACCGCGCCGTCCACACTGGTGCTGAGGTCGGTGTAACTTATGTCACTCGGGGGGTGGCTTATTCACACCCCTGAGTGACATCACTTATACCGACATAAGGGGTAGTGTGTGCATAGCCTTAGAGCAGATGTGCACTGTAGGAAGCTTAGGCCAGGTCAGGGGTGCATCAAAGCAGCATCTGGTGATTTAGCATCTGTCTCCTCTGCTGAAAGCAACAGGGTGCTGTTTGGTAGCTTCTGCCACACAGCATGATTTCTGCTTACTTGCCCATCCCTGAAATGTTCAGGCGCATTCATTCCAGTTGGAGTCCTGCAGCTCCATCTCTCACGTCCCAGGCACTCTGCCAAAACTGACCTATGTGGGTTAAAATTAGATGCCTAAATTTAGGCATGTGTTTTCTATGATCCCTGTTCTAGAGGGGGAAAGCTCCAAGGGCAGAGTTTCACCTTGGCCACCATTAAAGGGGACGAGTACACCTTCACCTCCAACAATGCAGAGGACATCCGGGACCTTGTCGTCACCTTCCTAGAAGGACTAAGGAAAAGATCAAAGTATGTTGTCACTCTCCAAGACAACCCAAACCCTGGTGAGTAAACTGAGCAACCCAAAGGCAAAGAAATCCTCTGGCTTTAGGGCAGGCAGTCTTTCGTATGTCGCACTGGGAAAGCTGTCTGCTTCTCCTGCAAGAGCAGCACTCATGTATAAAAGGTTTGGTTAATCAGGATTGGATGTCTCTTTCGAAAATATAGCCTCTAGCTCAACCAGAAGATATGGGCTTGCTGCAGGGATTACTGGGTGAAATTCTCTGGTCGGTGTTCTGCAGGCAGTGAGATTAGATGAGCACAGTGGTCTCTTCTGACCTTGAAATCAGTGTGTAAGACATTTGGTTAAGGTGGGATTTTCAAAAGTGCCTGAGGGAGTTGAACATCCAATTTCTATTGAAAACCAGTGGGATTTGGGAGCCTAACTCTCCTCGTTCCCTTTGAAAATGCCAGCCCAAGCACTTCTGTAAGTGGTATTTATTCACTGTACACATTTAGCAATCGCCTGTTTTATAGGATCCGATTTCCCAGGGATAGGTGTGTTAGGCAGGCATGTAGACAAGGTAATTACTCCAAAGGATGTTTGGAAATAACAGCGGCTGCTTCCACTGCAGTGGGAGAAGAATCTGGATTCCTCAGCTTCCATAAAGGAGACCTGATTGTTATGGACCAGGACACTGGAGAGCATGTCATGAACTCAGGCTGGGCCAATGGGGTCAATGAGAGGACCAAACAGAGAGGAGATTTCCCAACGGACTGTGTTTACGTCTTGCCGACTGTCACCATGCCGCCTCTGGAGATTGTGGTAAGCTACCCTAAGGGATGGTGCATCTTGGCAGGTGACTGATACAAAAGCCACTGAAGTCAAAGGGAGTTGTTCCATAGTCTTCAAAGATTAGATCAGGCCCTGATGATGATGCAGTGGAAGCAAGAATGACTAAGAGGGTTAACAGGTCATTGGGGCAGAGGGGAACCAGATTTCATTTGTCTGGACAACCTATTAGCCTTTCCATTGGGCTTGTTAGTTTGAAAACCACCCACTTTGGACCTAGAATATGGCTGAATCTTCTTGGATGTCACTGCGGCTTGAATTTTGAAGGTGATATTTGGGCAGGGGAGATGTGTCTATGCAGCTATGAATGAGAGGGGAAGTGGGTCCATAAGGTACTTTCTCTCTTAGGATGTGGTCCACACTGTTTTGAGATCCCCCTGTGTTAATTACTAAGAAATGCATGAAACTGCGTAGTTCCACTAAGATTGAGTGTTGTTGCTGTTTATTAGTTTGAAGTTAATATTTTGTTGTTTTTCCATTACAGCATGATTTTCTTTCATCTTCAGTCTTTTCATTTTTCATCCGCTTTCCCTTTCTGGACACATCAGAATTCTTTCATCTAAAATACATTGACTAACCATGACTCCTTTATTCTCTAGGCGTTAGTCACAATGACCCCTGACCAGAGGCAAGATGTTATTAGAACATCCCAGCTGGTGATTTCGGACAGTGAAGAAAGAGTGAAGCCGTACACCTTGGAAGAGTTCTCCTATGATTATTTTAGGTGAAACTTTAAAAAAAAATCTCTTCAGCATGCACAAAGGACTTGAGTTCATTCCTAAGGCAGAGCCGAATCGTTGGCTGCATTTCAGGATTACTGTAAAAAAGCTTTAGATTTCAGCTTGTCTGGCCTGATATGACTACAGCTGTGATTTAGGATGTTGCGTTCTGTGTATAAACTGGCAGAACATCAGAAGTCCGATTGTTACATGAAATTTTACAGCCAGTGTTATTCACGAGGTCCAACTAACTAATGGTCCCTTCTGATCTTGAAGCCTCTGAATCATATGTAGAACATTACACGGGATCATGGAAATGTAGGGCTGGAAAGGACCTTGAGAAGTCATCAGGTCCACTCCCCTGCACTGAGGCAGGACCAACTAAACCTTAGACTATCCCTGACAAGTGTTTGTCCAACCTGTTCTTTAAAAAACATTAGTCTCTTCTGGTATAGCAAGTCCGGTGTGTTAACTCCAAATAAACTAGAGCCTGGCACCTGTTCTAGGCATCTAGTGGGCTGATCCAGTGATCACTGAAGGCAACAGGGAGACTCCTATTGACCTCAGTGGGCGTTGGATTGGACCCTACAAGAGTGCCCTAATGCAGAACTGGGAGCCTTACATTTGGCACCCAAGTTCAGAAGCTGGGCTCCATAGAGCCGTCTCATCCCTCGTAATCTCTCCATGATTCCTCATTGCTTTGTGTTTGCTGCCAGGCCGCCTCCGAAGCACACTCTGAGCCGGGTCATGATCACCAAAAATCGAGGGAAAGACAAACTGTGGTGCTACACCCGAGAGCCCATCAAGCAGCCCTTGCTGAAGAAGATCCTGGGCAGTGAAGAGCTGTCCCAGGAAGCCTGCATGGCATTCATTGATATCCTTCCAGCGCTGTGGAAAGGTTGCCCACAATAGATCAAACCGACATAGAGGCCCGGCCCAAGGAGTCACATAGAGGCCCATTGAAATCAGTAGAAAGATTAACATTGACTTCAGTGGGCGTTAGGTCATGCACCATGAATAAGGCTACGATTATGTCA